TAAACTTGATACGTATAGTTTAATTAAAAGCACATTTGGAAAAGAGAAGTATGTTGATTGTATAACAAATAGTAAATTTAGAATAGCCCTTTCACGTTTTAGATGTTCTGCTCATAAATCAATGATTGAAGAAGGAAGATTTAGAAATATTGAAAGAAATCAACGATTTTGTTTAAAATGCAATATGAATGTAGTGGAAACGGAATATCATATTTTACTTGCTTGTCCGTATTACATTGATATACGAAGAGAATATTTACCTAAATACTACTGCTCTTGGCCAAATGTACTCAAATTTAAAATGTTAATGAATAACTTGAATAATTTACATGTATATGTTTATTTTACAAAACCTTGAGCAGTTAAGTCAATTTAAATGGTATCGGGACAGCACATTCTGTAAAGTTTATTGTCAAATTCTACATTATTGCCTGGTATTTTTATTGTCACTTCACATACATAGTACTAAAGGCTGATATGATATGCTATAGTCACATTTCGATTAAATAAAGTTATTTGATATGCATGTTATGGTACAAAAACGACCCAGTAGAATGATATTGTAAACAACCGGCCACATATCGATATATTTGACATTCCACATAATCAAAGGAAGTGTAAGTAAGATGTTCAGTACCAATTATGTAATATTATGTAATTCACATACAGTAACCTCCACTTACAGCGAACACGGTTATAGCGAACTTCCGGTTATAAGGAAGGCCCGAATTTTGCCCTTCTTTATTTAATATAAAATATACGGTTAAAGCGAACACGGTTATAAGGAATAATTGCTGATAAGGAACTCATTTCTTAGTCCCAATTTAGTTAAAAGTACAGAAAATTACACTTTTGTATATCGGCTATCCGTATTAAAACTCGGCCGAATATACCGTTTATTGTTGTATGTATTTCAAGATTTCTATTAAAATGAATTTGTATAGCAGTACGTTATAGTTTTCAATTCAGGATATTTTTGCATAAGTTCTTGTCACCAAGATAAAACAGTTATTCCCTTTTCTTCTATTATTTCTTTTCTTTAATAGTTTTGCTCGAGCAGAATAATTATGATCATTTATGATTGGTTTTCAACATAATGAAGCATGCTTGCTAATCCATTTAAATCTACAAAGCACGCTTGATTAAAATGAAAATAAATCTATATATTTCATAAGTAAAAGTCTCCCTTAAAATATAATAGAAGATATTTGATATAAAAGGAAGGAAAACTCGAAAATATTGTGTATTCTTGATCATGTAAAGAAAGCGAAAAGCATTGAGTTTAGAAACAAAATATGATATTTTATGAGAAATTTAGAAAAAACTGAAACTGAAATACCAAAGCATTTTCAAATTATCGGGTATTGTGTGTAAAAAAGAAATAAATGACTATTTTTCTTAATCAAATGCTCTTAAAAATAGCAGACGATTGTAATCAATCAGTTCGTTATATGTAAATCTGTTCGCTATAAAAACTCCTGATACAAGGAACTAATTCGCTTTATGCTTACAAGGAACTCCGGACATAAGGAACAGATTTTGAATGTCCCAATGAGTTCGTTATAAGCGGAGTTTACTGTATATGAAATTTTATCTCTAACTCTATTTGGTTCAAATTTAAATTACTGATAATAAAAAAGTCTGATGATACTTTCCAATCGCAACTATTCGGCCCTTTCCGTCAGTCTTCGGATAAGGACCTCGAACACAATAGTATGAATACACAGAACGGATGCGGTATTTCGGTCTAACCTACGCTAAGAAACTAAACATGTTAACAAAAAGTAATTTAATGCTGGGAGTTGTTGACAAGTTTATTTCCAATATATGTAGTAAAAGTTCACCTAAAATAAGTGAATTCATAGATACAAAAGCAAACAATACATTATTTATATATTTATTATTATAGTTGTAGAAACCGAAAGTACAAAAAAACCAACCTGTTGACATTTATTCGGATTTGTTTAAAATTGAACATCAGTGGGCATATTTAAATTACAAATTGTTGTCAGACATATTTTCAAGCATAAGAGTACCGGAACAGACATTAGATGTCAAATATATACATTCGTTTTACATTATCTCTGTTTTTGTTTACATCTGAAGCCACGTGGTAGAACTACTTTCAATCCGTATTGTTTCCGAGGTTATTATAGATAATAGCCGAGGCAGTTCCGAATGCTCGAACACAATAGTATTGAATACACAGAAAACGGCGATGCGGGTATTTCGGTCAAACCTACGCTAAGAAACTTAACATGTAAACAAATAGTAATTTAATTAATGCTGGGAGTTGTTGACAAGTTTATTTTCAATATACGTAGTGAAAGTCCACCTAAAATAAGTGAATTCATAGGTACAAAAAGCAAACAATACATTATTTATATATTTATTATTATGGTTGTAGAAACCGGAAAGTAACAAAAAACCACAACCTGTTTGACATTTAGTCGGATTTGTTTAAAATTGAACAATCAAGTGGTTTCAAATTGTTGTCAGACATATTTTCAAGCATAAAGAGTACCGGAACAGACATTAGATGTCAAATATATACATTCGTTTTACATTGTCTCTGTTTCTGATTACATCTGATGATCTGAAACCACGTGGTAGAACTACTTTCAATCCGTATTGTTTCCGAGGTTATTATAGATAATAGCCGAGGCAGTTCCGAATGGATACTTTCAAGAGAGGGCTTATGTTTACGCAAATGAGTCATTTTTATGTCGATTCAAATAAAGTCCCTCTTCTTTTCGTATATGAATAGACAATGCAGGACAATTCAAATCATTTGCTTATATTCACCTTTGCATCGGTTTAGCATCAAAATATTAGCTTCTCAACTGTTTAAATTGTTTATTTAATTGTTTACTACTTATAGAAACTTTCTCTTTGTAGACTAACGTTAACTTTTTAGGCCTAATAATTAATCGTCTCTTTTATTTCATTGTCGGTTTCTATTATTTCCTGTTACATGATATAAAAGTAAAGTAATCAACCCGTCCGTGCTTAGACCTGTTTCCAGTTCTGTTTTTATTTGGGTCCTGCTAGGCTCCTTGCCGGTGGTCCTTTGTTGCTGGGCAGTGTTGGAGTTGCGGTCATTGAACGCCACCTTTCCTGTTTGATATTGTTTTTCATATTTTCACACAAAACAAAGACACGAACTTTATCCATGGGTAACCAATTTGGACCTAATCTACAGTCATTGCGTTTTTATTTGTTTATAAGAGTTAGCAGCATTTATTCTCCACCGCCGATGGAATCGGGAGGGGGATATTGTTTTGGCGTTGTCCGTCCTTCCTTCCGCCCGTACGTCCATCCGTCCGTCCGAATATCGTTTCCGCACAAGTTCTTTGCAACTACTAACTGGAATTCAACGAAACTTTATGGAAACCTTCAATATTAAGAGGCGATACGCTTATCGTCGCCTTGTTCCGGTCAGATTCTTTAACTCAGAGTTATGGCCCTCGATTAGTTATGCAGTATGCATATAGAGCAATAATCGTTTACGTGCTACTTCTCTGCAACTACTGACTGGAATTCAACGAAATCTTATGGGAACCTTGAATACTAACAGGAGATGCGCATATCGTCGCCTTGCTCCGGTCAGATTTTTTAATTCAGAATTATGGCCCTTGAATAGTTATGCAGTATGCATTAAGAGATATAATCGTTTCCGCACTACTTCTCTGCAACTACTTGCTAGAATTCAATGAAACTTTACGGGGACCTTCAATACCAAGAGGAGATGCGCATATCGTCGCCTTGTTTCGGTAGGACTCTTTAACTCAAATTTATGGCCCTTGATTAGTTATGCAGTATGCATATAGAGCAATAATCATTTACGCGCTTCTTCTCTGCAACAACTGTCTCTGGAATTCAACGAAATCTTATGGGAACCTTGAATACTAACAGGAGATGCGCATATCGTCGCCTTGTTCCGGTCACATTCTTTAATTCAGAGTTATGGCCCTTGAATGTTTATGCAGTATGCATATAGAGATATAATCGTTTCCGCACTACTTCTCTGCAACTACTTGCTAGAATTCAATGAAACTTTATGGGGACCTTCAATACCAAGAGAAGATGCGCATATCGTCGCCTTGTATCGGTAGGACTCTTTAACTCAAAGTTGTGGCCCTTCATTAGTTATCCAGTATGCATATAGAGCAATAATCGTTTCCTCACTACTTCTCTGCAACTACTGGCTAAAATTCAACGAAACTTTATGGGAATCATCAATATCAATAGGAGATGCGCATGCTATCCCCTTATTCCAGTCAGACACTTACAGTAATGACCCTTGATTTGTTACGCAGTATGCATATAAAACAATGATCATTTCTGTGTCATTTTTTTGCAAGTACTGGCTGGAATTCAACGAAATTTAACAGGAACCATCAATTCTAAGAGGAGATGCGCACATCATTGCCTAGTTCTGGTCAGACCCTTAACACAAAGTATGGCCCTTGATTAGTTATGTAGTATGCATGTTGAGCAATAGTCATTTCTGCGCTTTTTCTCTCTGCAACTGCTGGCCGGAATTCAACAAAACGTTATGGGAACTATCCATACTAAAAGGAGATATGCATGTTGCCTTGTGCCGCTCAGACTCTTCAACACAGAGTTATGGCCCATGATTAGTTATGCAGTATGCGTATAGAGCAATTATCATTTCCGCACTACTTCTCTGCAACTACTATACAATAACAATAAATACCAATGGGAGATGCGCATATCATTGCCTTGTTCCGGTCAGAGCCTTCAGGACAGAGTTATGGCCCTTGATTAGTTTTTCAGTATGCATATAGAGCAGTATTGCTATTTCTTTTCAACTTCTGGATTGATTTCAACAGGACTTTATGGGAATCATTAATACGAAACGGAAATTTGCATACCACGATAAATTTACAGAAGTAAAGCCTTATTTCTCCAGTTGTTGTGTTAACCACTACTCGGCGGGGGATATAAATTCAACGAATTTGTTTGTTTTACAGTAAAGATGACAACTAAAGAACATAAGCGTGATTATTTTGGGTCAGAAATGGCAGAAGATGATATACAGATTGAAAGCCGAATGGTATGTTCCAATATGAAATTTTTTTTCATTATAATTCTCGATGTGATTAACATTTAAATGTGTAGAACAAAAATATTTAAGCAATTAAATAAGAAAAATAAGAAATGAAAAGTTTTTCTGCATACAATATCAGTTACCAGTAGGTAAGGTTAACACACACACGGAACGGTTTATATTATTTAAGGCTTTGGTGATATTCCCAACATTACGTCGCCTGAAAAACGTTTTGTTCTAAGTGCCAATTTGTTACTTTTGAGAAAAAGGCATTCAAAAATTCAATTTTGCAAAACTTTTTTATATATTGTTGGATTTTGAAAATTTAAAAATTATTTAACGTGTTTTCAAACACCCAATTTAATAACAACAAAATAAGCGCATTTTAATATTTGTTTTGCATGAAAATACAAAAAAACGTTTGGAGATAGAACAGTCCTTGTAACTTTTTTACAAATTTTGTAAATATGATAGTGTTTATTGTGACTTAGAACATTATGTCTTTTAAGTTGAATTAATAAATGTCACATAGAACAGTACGTTTTATTGCAGGGCTCTCAATTATCTATCTCTTAATTAAAAGCATTCGACCACCTGCATTTCATGGATCATATCATACTATGAAATTCAAAATCATATTAAAGTCTTAAGGTACAGCACTTAAACAAACAGTATTAAAACAAAAAAGTAAATAAAATACAAACCGAAAATCTTTTTGTGATTTTAATTAATTCAATTTTTTTAAACTTGTAACTTTAACATAGTGACAAAACAAACGTGTAACTCTGCCTATGGCTTGTGCAATAAGCTTAAATCATTGATTAGATGTAAGCCAATAACTACATATTTTCCATAGATATATTGAAATCATTCTTCAAAACTTGCATAATCTATAATAATAACACATAGTTAAATCTATCTTTTTTAAGATATTTGTTCTAACAAAGCTAAACAACATATAACACTGAACACTTAAACTTAAACTTTACTTGAAGTTAAACATCTGTAACCTTTAACATGAACACAATGGCATTATATAATGTATACACGTAATTGCTTTATTCTAAGCAATAATATCAACACTAAACTTCAAACAAAACAATGCATTTGTTAAACTTAAATTTTGGCGTTTGTGGCCAATGTATATATCAACTAAATTGTGTCTTCACTTTTGATACTGTTCTAATAGCATAAAAACAGGAAACCTGTTTTATTCAATACATATGCTCAGTTTTATTTATTTGAACATGCTTTCATTTTTTTGTTATCACTACTTGTAGCAGTTGATTCTGGAAACAGTCGTTTTCGTCTACATGTTCCTATTTTACAAAGGTTTTCTAAATAGGCTCTATCTGTGTCTGGAAGAAATTTAAGCATGGATTCAATATCCTTTAACTTATCATCAGAAATGTTTGGTTTGGTTTTCAGATAATGAATAAAAAGGTGTTCTGTCAATTCCAATAGTATTCCCTGATCTGTTTGACGAACAAGATAAACTATATCGAACAGGGGTTCAGTAAAGCTTAATCTGTATTGCACATGCATGGGTTAATTCAGATGTTAGCTTAATGCATTTTACTTTTGTAAATGGTACGCTACTGTATTTGAAACAAGTAGAAGAAGTCTGGAAATCACGTAAATCTTTTGATGATAACTGAATAATTTTCATGTTAGCAGGCCTGACCTTTTGAGTTCTTTTACTACACTTAATGGCTATATATCTGCACACATTTAAAGTGTTTCTCAATGTGTGAATGCACATTATCCACCTCTTGAATGGCAGAGTGTCCTGGTGTACCAAACTTTTGAACGATTTCCCTGACTTCACTATGACAGAATAAAAAATTTCTTAACGCAAACGTCATAATTGAATTTCTGTTTTGTGGTACACAAGAATCCGACCACAATATAAAACGTTGAATACCAAGGATGTTGCTTCAAAACATCTTCCAAAACTAAGATCAATGCACTAGCGATTTCATTAGCGCCTCTACCAGCTATACATTCATTCCAGATAACATTATATGCAATCTTAACTATGGAACAATGCGCTGTAAGATTGAAGACATTTAACTTTCTCTTATAAAAAAGTTAGACACAATAGCCCTTGGACAAGTGATGCATATCAAAAGATATTACTGCTTCATTGCCTCCACGGTCTTTGTCTCTTTCTTCTTTAGTTGCTAACTTATCAGTCACATGATTCTCGTATGTACGAGCAAATTCATCGGAAACAGCGGTAGTAGCACTTTGTGTCTGAATATCAAACTGTTTGACATAAATCACATCGATCCTTTTTCGGTTGAAAAAATCCAATATTGAACTCAGTGTTAAAAATCCGTCTATAGTGATGAATAGGCCTAGAATCCCTGTTGCATCTTCTACATATAAATGACACATTTGTGTAAAAGATTAACCAGATTCTAAATAGCTTTTACTTGTTGTAGCGCGACAGTAATGTGATGGTATTGTCGGGAAAGAATTTATGTGATTTCTTATAAAATCTTCGTCAGCTACTGAAAATTTTACCCTTAAAATCTTCATACCTCCTGTTTTCATCAGACTTTCTATGAAACCATTCTATTCGCCTCTGGCTGATATCTAATGTTTGTAAGTAAAAACTTTTACACACTTTAATCTTATTTTGTCCCTTTAGAACGTAATAAATATATATAATTTGTCTCCTGGACTGCTCAGAATTCGTTCTTTGACGAGCTTTTAACACTTTAGATGTTGTTTGTGCATAAAAAACATTTTTGTCAGAATCATTGAGGGACCAAAAATAGTCAAATATTTCTTTTTGGTTTTCCCTTGAAAGCTTCTGAGAACAATGATATTTACAACCAGAACAGTCTTTCTTTATCTGTAATTCTCTAGCCCTTTGCAATTTACCAGTAACTTCCATGTATTCTTCGCCAGATTGCCTTCTTCTTTTCCTGATGTTTTGTTTCCACAATTTTGGATTTTTCAACTTTTTTGCGACCCTGTCTGACATTGTTATTACACTCGTTATTGTGATCACTGTTTCCAATTTCTTGATTGTTAACACGTTTTCTTATTTTTTTGACTTTCAATATCCGTTTCATTTATCTGCATGCCATTTTCATTGATCTTTTCTGCTTCGCTTAATGATATCATTATTTAGTTGGCCGTTAAAATCTTGTAATGTACAATCCAGATCTGGTGACTTTTCAATTAGCTCATGATTGTTTTAAATAATTATCATTTGTATCTAATTTGCTAAAATTATTTTCATCGTCAACATGCTGATCCAAAACGTAAATTTCAATAAGCACATTTCCTTCATCTTTTTCAATATCTTGCTGTGCGACATTTTCTGATTCAGTGTCCAAATTCGAACAGTTCATAGAATTTTCAGTGTTAACTAGATGTTTACCTTTGTTTGAGTCAGCATTTTGTTTGTCGTCAGAATTTACATTTTCATCAGCTGTGTCCAAAAAACTGTTGAATTTATCTTCAAACTCATTTGCTGAAATATTATCATCTGTTTAAAATTGCTACAGCTTCTTCTACAGTATATTTACTGCGATTCATTTTTATACAAGTGAAAATTACAATTTCTATAAATATCTATGAATTCCCTCTTAAATTGTGCCCTTATTTCACTAGACTCATCTCGAAGTGATAGATGAAAGAACAAAAGTGATTTGCTGGTCTCCATTACAGCTGAGCATTGTTCCAAAAAGAGAACTGCACCCCACAAGCATCAAGCACTATCAACTGGTTTTTTTCTAATATCTTGATAATAGTGTTAGGGGAAATTCTCGTAAACGATACATACAGTTGATCAATCTTGTTGCAATATCGGATAGCTAAAAAGTCTTCATCTACTAGGTTTTTACAACCATCAACAGAAAGTATTTGTAAATTGAGGCACTGTTTCAAAAAACACAATGTAGATATTGGACATTGACTGATATTAAGCCAGTACAACTTGTTCCCTTGAAAGTGTTTTGAAAATAAAAAGTCAATGTCTGGAGCAAGATAGCTGTAGCCGCTTGCGGGAATAATAAAACTTTCAATTTTTCTGGAATGCTGAAAAATTCTTTCCAGAGTTCCCTTATAAAAATGCACAGGATTGTCAAATTCAAATTCTCGCCACAGGTATGATGTAGTAGTAATTATGTTATTGAATGCTTTACACGTCCTGTTTGTGTTTGTTAAAAGTTCTTCTAAACGTAGGTATGACAAAATTCTGGCAATTACTTCAGTCGGCAGTGTAAACAGGTTTTGCTTGAAGAGACCTGAAAGAAGGAAGATTTATTATTTTATATTCAAAACAGTTATGTGCAAATGGCGATCATGTACGAAACATAACAAGCGTTATGTCATATACATTCAGATATTCGAAAATGTATAACAATGCGAACAAAGATATTGAAAGGAATTAAGTTTCTTCCTATTGACTTTGGTATAAAAATGTTTTTGCTTTAAGTTATCTTTTATTTAGTAAAATAGTGCACTCAAAAATACATACATGTATAATGTGTATAAATTTCTTTATTTAAGAAGTTCAAAACTTGTTGTATCACCCCATTTTTGTTTACAAATATTTGGATGAAAATCGTATGATCACATGTGTTTCTATCCGAAAACAAAACACGTCCGAAATCATTTGAAAGCGTGATTAGTTTTAAGTAGTGTTTAAATATTTGCAGTTAATGTAAAATAATTGTCACTGATTGGAGTTTATCAATAAAAACATGATATTAATCAATACTTACATTTAGTATATATATAGGAAATCAACAGCAAACGTTGCAAAACCAGTATACTCAAAATATTTGTACAATATGGCGGGCGTCCTGCCATCACGTGATTTAAATGCTATGCCCTGATTCGATATCTTGGATTTAGAACACTGTGTTTTTAAAATAAAATACGGTCAAATACACTTAGAACAGTCTGTTGCATATGCCTCACAGGTCATGTGACATGTATCGATGATATGTATGGTCAAATAAGTTAGAACAGTCTATCTTGCAAAACGCACTGAATTTGTGGAGATAGAACAGAATGGTTTTGTTGTAATTTATCTATGAAGCTTTGTTACACAAATATAACATGCCAAGGAGATAGAACATCCCATTACGGACCAAACTGTGTATTTAACTTTTTTTTTGAAAATTTGGAGATAGAACATTACAGTTTTCAAGCGACGATTAGCTAATTGATCCTTTAGTAATTGTCACATGTAAATAGTATTGGACCTACATTATTGCATGAATTCATTTTCATGGTGTATCTCGCAATGATACAACACAATCGTATATACCCCCTATCTGGTGTAAAGCAATAAGGAGGACAGTTTTCTCAGTCAGTGTTTCTTTGTTTCTTTTTCTTTAAATCTTTGGTTGACAACCGTGAATCTATTGAATTCTGGAAGTCACACTACATTTCAAATATTTGAATAGGAAATAAATATGCATGCCTTAAACATCACTCAGACATGTACATCAAATATATTCACAATTGCATATGTTGTAAAAATGTTGATATTCAATACTTGTTGCTATTTTTCGTGAAAGAGTTTGAACCTTGCTCAGGAACAAACAAGAAGCCTGCTAATTTAATACACCAACAACTTGATTAATATTTATGACTTTTTTATTGTTGAATGTTTTTACAAGACATGGTTTGATAAGAAAAGAGGAATTACTGCCCAGTACTGGACAAATTAATTTAATATATTTTGTGCAAAATATTGTCGGTAGCATGGCTACAGATCAAAAGAAGAGTCAATTTTTAATGAGTCTAAAACCCTTTAGAATAAATATTGTATCTTGATGTGTTCTTTCAGGAAAATATGTCAATTGGAAATCTGTAAGTTTCATCTTTTATAAACATTGTTTTTAAAATAAATTTATTTCAAAAGGATTCTTTTCAAACTAGAACTGCTCAAATTATTGTTTAATTTAAATATATCTTGAAACATAAGGCCATAAATGAAAGGTTATAAAACAAATAGCAACTGTTGGTAAATATTTTTAAAGAAAAATGATATCTTTATTCTCTCTGATTAGAAAAAGCATTGGTGTATAGCAGGTGCTTATTGTATTTCAGAACAAGCAATTCGAAGCTTTTTGATAAACCGCAACCATTGATATATACAGATAAAGCAGGACCGTTGCAGCTTAATGGAGATGTTTTGACTCAACTTTCTCATATAAACAAGAAATTGAATGTTGTCTGTGTTTGCGGTTCTTATAGAACTGGGAAATCGTATTTAATGAATTGGATTGCAGGCGACAAAACAGGTAAGTCAGCTACTAGTAAGTCAGTTCATACATTCCATACATGAAAATAAAAGAAAAGTTTTGAAATCTGGAAAAGTGAAGTCCCCTCGGAAGCATTGTTAACAACATAACTTACTAGCTTAACAACATTTCGGCAAAACTAAAATCAATCATGTATGTTAATGTTAATCGTGACCCGATATTTTTAGACTTAACAGTCTATCATTTACTTTAAGGGTTTAATCTTGGCGATACAGTTCGATCAGAGACAAAAGGTATATGGATCTGGTGCAGAGAACATCCAAAGCAATCGGACCAAGTGTTAGTTTTGTTAGACACAGAGGGATTTGGTGATCCGGAAAAGGTTGTATTAACTTGTCATTTCTTAAACACAAGAATAAATCTTTAAATAAATGGCATAAAATTAATAAAAATGTATGTGTATTCAAAATGCCTGATATAGCTTGTTCTTACAAAACAGTTTAATAACTCTAGTTTTTTTATTAGCTCACCTGAGGACAATGTCCTCATTGTGGGCTTTTGTGATGGATGGTTTTTTGCGTCCATCGTCCGTGCGTCAACAATTTCTTTAAACAAATTCTCCTCCTTAACCACTTGGCCAACTTTGTTGAAACTTTGCAGAGTGTTCCTTGCATTAAGCCCTTCCTCCAAATGTGTAAGGAAAATTAAATTTGAAGAACTCTGGTTGCCATGGCAAACTAATTTTCTTTTTAATTTAAAGAAAATTTTCTGAATAAAAACCACAAGCCTTGAAACTTGGTTTGTAACATGATCATAGTAGTGGTCCTCTACAAAGATTGTTCAAATTATGCCCTCAGGGTCAAAAGGGGCTCCGCCAGGGGGCTCATCAGTTTTATAAAAAAGGGAAATCTTTAAAATCCTCTTGTCAAAAGCCACAAGGCATAGAGCCTTAACATTAAGTTTGTACTATTATCTCTAGTGGTCCTGTACAAAGATTATTAAAAGTATGCCCCTTTGGTTTAAAAGGGCCCCACCATGGGGATTACTCGATTTAAAAACAAAATCTTCAAAAATTTCTTGTCAAAAACTTAAAAAGCCTTCAGCTTTGATACTTGGTGTGTTATATGGTCTAGCGGTTCTCTACAAAGAGTATTCAAATAATGTCCCTAGGGTCAAAAGGGGCTCCGCAAGGGGCCTCATCAGTTTAATAAAAGGATGTATAAGGAAATCTTCTTGTCATAATCCACAAGGCCTAGAGCCTTTATATTTGGTATGTAACATGATCTAGTAATCTTCTACAAAATTGTTCAAATACTGTCCAAAAGATTAAAAGGGGCCCCGCCAGGGGGCTTATAGATATTTTTAAAAAAATCATTGAAATCTTCTTGTCAGAAACCACAAGGTCTACAGTTTTAATATTTGGTATGTGACATCATCTAGTGGTCCGCTACAAAGAGTGATTAAATTGATCCCCTTAGGTCAAAAAGGGTCCCACCAGGAGCTCCTCGGTTTATATAAAGTTAAACATAAAAATCTTCTTGTTAAAATCCACCAAGCGTAGAGTCTTTACATTTGGCATGTAACATGATCTAGTGGTCCTCTACAAAGATTGTTCAAATGATGTCCCGATAATGAAAAGGGGCTCCGCCAGGGGGCTTATCAATATTTAAAAATCTTCTTGTCAAAAACACAAGGCCTACAGCTTTGATATTTGGTATGTAACATCATCTATTGGTCCGCTACAAAGAGTATTTAAATTAAGCCCCTGGGGTCAAAATGGGCCCCGCCAGGGGGCTCCTCAGTTTTATATAGGGAAATTTTAAAAATCGTCTTGTCAAAATCCATAAGGATGTGCCTTGATATTTGGTATGGTACATGATCTAGTAGTCCACTACAAGGATTGTTCAAAAATCAGAAGACCTAGTGCTTTGATATTTGGTATGTAAGGGTATCTAGTTGTCTTCTAGATTTAAAATAAAACATATTTGAACAACATCTAAACCACTGGTTAAACTTTGAAATAATTCTACTAAAAAAAATCATGGGTGACAGTGTACAGAACTTGTTTAGATTAAGCTGCCCCTTGTTTTCAAATTGTGCTTTTGGGGTGGAAAGGGGCTCCACTATGACATTTTGACAATTTTTTTACGTTAACGATCCATCTCTTCCTTGGCGTTCTGGTTTAAAACTAAATAAACACGAATATATTCATGCGCTTTCAGGCAACTAAATAAGACATTATAGACAATTTCATACCATTTTTGATTGTCACTACGAAATGTATTTTTGTAGTTTGACAATAAATTAGATTTTCATGTTGCTAACATGTTGAACCAGAGAATAATCATGTACACAATAAGAAGGACCTAAGCTAGGTGATAGCCGAGAGGTATTTTTATCTCATTTTCTTATTATATTCAATTTCTTAAGACTTCGCCACTGAAAACTGGTTTTACTCCCATTTTTACATACTATTCACAAAAATATGTCAAGTAATTACAACTTGTACGTAAGGTAATACGGATGCATAGATCCTTTTAGCGAATGGGGAAAAAACTTTCTCTTATAATGAAAGCAGCTCATTATTTCTATGAAAGAAGACAATGATAATGGCAAGCCGAGAGTATCCCGTCTAATCTCCTGCAAGTTAGTAACATTATAAAAATATTTAAATTTTAGAGAGATCCAGAACATGACAACAAAATGTTTTGTCTTGCGCTTCTGATGAGCAGTACACTGATAATAAATGTAAAGTCTGTGATCGAGTACTCAACCCTGAAGGAATTAGAGTATCCTTTTAGTATACATTTAGGTGAGAAATAGATTTTCTGTCGTATGTGTGCAAAATCGATTGTTGGGAAGGTAAGATTTATCATGAACGGTATAAAAAAAAATAAGCGAAAGAGCAAATTATAAACTCAAAAAGGATTTTGTCAAAAAGACTTATGTCACCCATGTAAGTACTCTATGAATGACAGCTGCATGTAAATTCCACCAGCAGTTTCACCTATGAAAGCCAGACAATTTCTTTTGTTTTATAGCCCTGGTGGCAGAGAAGAAGAACGTGCAGGCGATATGCACAGCTAAGATTGGTACGGATCACTGTTGTGAAGTTTCGTTAAAATCCTCCAATATTTTTACCTGTGAAGGCTTGAATAATTGTTATATTTTTAGCTCTAGCGGCCATTTTATGCAGTTTAGCGAAACATGTCAGTCACATGCACACTTATGATTGGTACTAATCATTTCTGTTTAGATACATTGAATCATGCCAGAAGTTTGTCCTGAGAAAGCATAACAATATTTTTTCCATATTTAGCTCTGGTGGCCATTTTTGCAGCAAACCAAACGTGCCGGCAATATGTACAACTAGGTATGCGATGATCAATCTTTTGAAGTTTCGGGGAAATTTGGGAGATGTTTGACCTTTGAAAGCCAAACATTTTTTTCTTCATAGCTCTAGCGGCCATATTATACAGCGAGGCTGAACGTGCCAGCGATATGCACACAACAAAATATAGCACTGACTACTCATATGGGTTTTCCTAAAAATCCCGTCAACACTATGACCTGTGATTTTTTTCTATTGGTAGATATGGTGGCCATTTTGTGCAACACAGCCAAAATTGCCGGCGATATGCACAACCATTCACTGATCACTCCTTTGAAAAATTGTTGAAATCCCGCCAGCAATGTGTCTGTGGAAACTGGAAGATTATTCTTATTATATCTCAAGCGGCCAATTTGTGCAGCGAAACGAACCTGCCCAACTTCAATTTTGTACAACTTCGGGTGGTACTGATCACTGTGAAGTTTCATTGAAATCTTGCTTGTAATTGATCTGTGGAAGCTGGACAAGAGTTTATTATCTATAACACTGGCGGCAATGTTGTGCAGCGACGAAGAACGTCCCTGAGATATGCACAACTTCAGATTGTTACAGTACTTAATTCTCTTTTTAAGTAATGTCAAAAGCCCGCCAGCAGTTTGACCTGTGGAGGCTTTTCTATTCATAGCCCTGGTGCCCTTTTGTGCATCCAAGCCAAACGTGCTTGTGATATGCACAACTAGGTATGATGCTGATCACTCTTGTGAAGTTTCATTACAATCCAAACTGCAGTTGTACATGTGAAAGCCGTACAAGACTTTGCTAGTTATACCTTTAGCGGCCATTTTGTGCAGCCAAGCCAAACATGCCGACGATATGCAAAACAATGTATGGTACTGATCACTCCTGTGAAGTAAAGTTCAAATCCCGCCAGCAGGCGGCCATTTTGTGCAACGAAGCGGAACCGGCGATATGAACACGCTTTGTTAGTACACATCACTCCTGTAAAGTTTTAGTAAAATCCAACCGGCTGTTTGACATGTAAAAACCAGACAAGATTTTTTCTAATTTTAGCTTTGGGGGCCATTATGTGCAGCGACGCAGAACGTGCATGCAATATGCTATGTATGGTACTGATCACTCCTGTGAAATTTCGTTGATAATCCGCCAGCAGTTTGACCTGTAAAAGCCGCACAACATTTTTCTATTTATAGCTCTGGTGGTCATTTTGTGCAGGGAAGCCGATTGTTCGGGCGATATGCACAATTAGGTATGGTGCTGATCACTTCTGCGAAGTTTCATTGAAACCCTACCAGTAGTTTAACCTGTGAAAACCAAACCAGAATCTTGTGGCCTTTTTGTGCAGCGAAGCAGAACGTGCTGGCGATATGCTCAACTTAGATTTGTACGGATCAATCTTGTGCAATTTTGTTTAGGCCTCAACTGACGGTAGGATTTAGAAGTCCAACACCAATTAAAGCTTCAATGTACCAGCAAATCTTAATGTGTGAAGACAACTGTTTCTTGAATTCATACAAATTAATTCTAGATTTACAGGATAGGACATGTGATATCTCTTGATTCTAGTTGTACAGATCTCCCATGATGGTAGGTGACAAATTTCCCAATTATCCCCTGGTAATGTGTTTAATGAATGACATTCCTGAACAATTAGGCTAAAATGTAAACATAGTAGTAAGTTGGTAAAAAGGATGTAGAAAAAATCATTGGGAGCCCCAAGTTGTGGCATGTTCTAATCCAAAGTTAATAAGAAAATAATATAAGACTATTTAAAAAATGAAATGGAGGGGTATCGGTTATTACTCATGCAGAAATTTTTTACTGTTAGACCAAAATACAGAACACGCTTTAGGGTGCTCATTAATGTAATTCATTCCAGAACTTGCTAATTTCCTAAATGCTCCCCCATGCTATCCACGGCCCATCTCTTTATCGCTTTTTTAATGCAAACAATTACTAGTATATAACATTAAACTAAATATAACATATATCAGTAATTTAAATAATAGTGAATAAATTCTTTAAGCGATCCATTCAGAGGGCGTTTCTTTTGGAGGGGAACCTGATGATTCATACAATGTACAGTTACAGTCTGAAGGCAAGTGATGTATTGCTCTGAAAACTGTACATCATATATTTAATTAATATTGTATAACTAAATACTACCGTCTGTTGAGGCCTTTAAAATTCCCAATGTTTAGACCTGTGTAGACCGGACATACTTTTCTTCTTTTAGCAATAGCGGCCATTTTATTCAGTGAAGCGGAACATGTCAGTGAAATGCACATTTATGATTATACACACCAATCCTGTTAAGAAACATTGAATCATGTCAGCAGTTTGTCTCGAGAAAGCCTTACAATATTTTTCCATTTATAGCTCTGGCGGCCATTTTGTGCAGCAAAGCCAAACGTGCCGGTTTTGATATGTGAAAGCTGGACAAGCTAATTGCGGACGCACGGAAAGACTGACAGACGGCCGTGGCAAAAACAGTTTGTCTCCCAAATATTTTGAAAAGATAATATCAAGAGATGTATAAAGCCATATCTATATTTTAGCAAGTGTTTTATGCCTACTTTTAAAGACAAAATATTGGTGAATACATACAGTTTCACTCTCACTTATATAATTATAATGTAGGTTTCAATAAAATAGGATATATGTCATTATTTGTTGTCATGAATTATAGAAACTTCTTAAGAAGAGTACATTTTGCACGCAGATTTAGGCAAATAGTGTACCCATTTGGCATTCGTCTCTGTCAAAAGTGTGTTTTTTTTTCAGAATCGTATAAGTAACCTTTTCGAAATCCGAACAATAGCTCTACAAATGATAAATCGGTATCTCTGTAAATAATGAAATTGACATAACGAATGATTTCCAGTAAAAACCGGATATGCGTGCATTTTAATTGACTCTTGATTTATTTTTTGATTTTATGTTCCTTTTAAGACACTTTACCATCGCAACAAATACTGCAAATTTCTTGAAGAATATTGTTTATACGTTTTCCTTGAGATTTTATTAAGCCGGTTTTAAGAAGTTGCTTATAGAACGACATACATATACGAGTAAGTACCATAAAAGGTTATGTTTTAAAGCATTCTAGTATTGTGGTATATACAATCGTGGATTTCAAGGAATAAGGGAGAAGCAGAGAGAGATCTAGAAATGAGCTTTTGACAAGAAATTGTTAAAAGCACATACTGTAACATTTCCTTAAAATGAAGGCGTAATTATTAATTCCTTAATGATAAAAGTTTCATAGCCAAGCTATCCGACACAATTAAACTTCTAGATGATGATAAAGCGGAAGAAAAACATAATGCCAAAACAATCCAGATTGCTTCTCCCACTCTGATTATGTGCATCAGAGATTTTTATTTGGAAATGATGATGGATGGAAGACTTCAGACAGCAAACGAATACCTTGAAGCTAACCTTAAATCAGTAGAACTGTCTACGTTATCAGAGAAACAACAGAAAAAACAAAAGAAATCAAACAACATTAACGAGTGTATCAAAGCTTATTTTCCAAAGAGAACATGTTTTACGATTGCACAGCCAGCTATGGGTGGAAATCTGAAAAATATCGAACAATTAGATGAAACATCTTTAGACAAGACTTTTGTCGAAGACATCAAAGCATTACAAAATTACGTTTATGACAGAAAACCTAAGTACATTTGTAATGCTAGCAAGAAACCATTAGAGGGACCAGGTAAGTACAGAAATTTCTCTTGAAATCTAGACTGAAATTGAAACTGAAAATCATTAATATATATATATTTTCATATTTCAAAGAAGTGTTATTAAGTCATTAACTGCCAAAACAGCTATATTTATACATACAATTTTGTGATTTTTTTACTTGACTGTGAACATCGGAAGAAAAGCTTGCTCTCGATGGTCTCCTTTAATAGATGTTTTACATTTAACCAGCATAATTTAATATAAAACTCAAAATGTTGAAACGGTTTACTTCAACTAAATAGTTTTATGTTGTACAAATGTAATGTTACCGTTGTCACTGTTGAATGATTTTGTCGGTTAGGAAGGAAATTCCATCAAACAACGTTATTCTGAATTGAAATTTTAATGACCAACGATGGCAAACCGAAAAGCAAGGGAAGCAACCCTGTAATTAAAAGGTACAGCAGCATCAAGTTACATATATCTGTGTAACTGTGCTAAATAAAGTAATAAACACAAACCTTAATAGAAACCAATACTGGCTCCTTGAGGTAAAACTTGTATGAAATTATGGATAAACTACATATCATCAAACTTATAAAAATCTATGGACAGATGTTAAAAATATATAACATTGTATTCATACTAAAACAACAAAAAAAAGCAGTTTGTCAAAACACTTAAATATATATTTTTCAAACATAATAACTCTGCATAGTTTTTAACATTAGCATTTGATTTCAATGGGATTTTCAGATCTGTAAAAATAAAAAATTGTAATTCATATAATCAATGCTTAATATGATTACTAATCAATTCATTTAAATTTGCTTGTAAAATACTTTCTGAATCTGAATTTTTACCACTAATATATGCATCACGCAGATCTGATAGAACACACTCTCACTCTTTCTTTGTATGAAGTAGAAAGCAATTGGTTCCCAACAAATTTCTTAACGAAACTCTATTCTTCTTGTAATGAAATAACTATGTAGCGCTGACGAGAAACATGCTTTTTATCTGATATAATATACACTAGATCGCCAACATTTATGGTTACATATTTGTTAACACCACCTTTTGGAAATTTTGATTTTTCACTATATTACAATATTATACTCGAAGTGGGTGCATTTCGATATTTTAGCACAAAAGTGCATTTCTGATAGTGTTTTTCTGTTCATTATCAATAAATTTTGTTTTAGTGTACGACGCAACAGTTTAGCGTAAAACAAATACACATTGTTTCAACTGATTCTAGAGGATTTTCACATGATTGCTGTAATAATGCTTTTGAAAACTTTTTAATCGAAATGCATGTATGACAGGAGTTTGTGACATGATCGATAACCTTTGCCAAGTCTAATGCAAAGAAGTGACGTCGAACAACAAGATCTTATTGGTGTTTTGTAAGGTGGTCAAGCTTTATGTGAAAAGTCGTTAGGAGACCAGGTAGAACTGTTCGTTGCACAATTATTTGTTCTAGATCTGCACAAAACGTTTCAGAATGCTTCACTACTAAAAGTTTATCCTTTGATATAAAGTCTACCTGTAAATTCCGTTTTTAGTAATTTTTTTGGAAGGTCGGGTGACTTGTTTAAGATGTGAATAAATACGTCGTAGATCAGAACACTCATTTTGGATGTCGAGCCAAGCCGACTTAGTTGTAAACGGTAATCGTTTTGTGTCATTCAAGATATCGTCAACTTTTACTGACATAAAATAGAAATATACAGAATTCCTAAAGAAAGCCCAACACGGCAAAATTGAAAGTGTTGCAGGCTCGGTTTGATTGAGCCTGTTCATGAAATAGTAAAATTTTGAATTTAGAAACATCCGCAGATGTGTTCACACGGCGGTTATCATGGAACCTTCAATGTGACACTTCCGTGCCATTCCATGAAAAGCGGCGTATGGTCCCCAAGTAATAAAAAGCGTGTGCCCTAAACGAGAAAACAATGGGTGGAACTAAATAAAATGGAATTTTGAAAGGGGATCTGAGCTTCTGAAGCCTGCATATCACAGATAAGACGTCAAAAGACAAATTTAGAAAGCAGGCAACATATCCTAAGGGTGATTCAACATTATTCAAGTAGGAATATTGGAACCACCCAAAAAGAAAACAACAATAATGTCCAACCAAATCTTCCACTGCTCGTATAAAGGTACAACTCTGACTTTGGAATTCATCCATAACAATCTGGTGCATTTCTACTAGCAAATTTAGAAGGTGAATTAGCTGAGTCAGTCAAATGTTTCACAGTTTCATGATATATACTGGCATTTGACAAAATTGAGGTGACTCTAGGTTGGAGGAGAACTGTTCACGATAGAGCTTCAACTGACCATCTGTAAGTACACATGTCGTGTTAGAAGACTGAACGATAAATAGACTAAAGTGTTTCACAGCAGCACCTTTACTGAGTGCTTCGATTTCACAGGGAAGCCAAGTATCTCGATGTCTCCTTAACTTTGCACTTAAGAGTCCTGCAAGTTTCGAGTTACATATAAAGTAGCTCCTATACCACATTTAGGGACAGATCAATCTGTGGCAATCCAAAGTTGTTCATCACGTCTTGGTATAGCAATTTTCTTGTGGTAATCAAGACCACGGTTTGCTTTCTCAAAATGAGCTAAGTTTCTGTCATCCCAATGTACCGTCTCATTTGATTGATATCCTGCAGCTAAATTATCTAATGGGGAAAGATAGCTTGAACATGGTGGAACTACCTTACTTAACACTTTGTATGCACCTATAAAAGATCTAAGTCGATGAATTGCCTCTGGTGGCTTACATGATGAAAGTGTTGATATGCGATGAGGACTAGCTAATAGTCGCCCTCATGACCCAACCCAGCCAAGAACAATTGTAGACCTTGGGCATATGTCAGTTTTTGATGGGGTAGTTGATATTACACTTATCTAGAGCAAAGAGAACACATGTCAGTTTTCCAATTATTGTTTAGGTGTGTCCCCTATACAGTACAGGTCATCAGCAAGCTTACAAACGATGCCTTCTTTCATACGACACATTATTTCCAATAGAGCCGTTTCGGATCCAGGAATATCCGTTGCACACCTGGTGTACACTCTGATTCCATTTAAAGGTGTAGCAACTCCGCAATATTTAAGTGACTTCTTTGACAATCGTATCTGGTTACAGACGCTTTTAAGGTCAGACATAACTCTAGTTCCACTGCCCAATACAGCGTAATACTGACTCAACATTTGGCATTGAAGAGGGATGAGGTTTGCTGTAACGTCCTATATTAGCAAATGCACTAATCTGTGAAATCCTTGTGATTTTTAACAAGGAAAGAGGGGTTAATATACTCAACATTCATTACAACATCCTCCTGGCTAGCAAAAACCTGTTGGCTCTCTAATTCATAGAATTTATCTTGGATCTGAATTAACTTATCTCGCGAGTTCTGAGGAACCTGTCCTTTTCTTCGCGGTGGGATGGCAGGACCCGTATTTACTGTTGCTTTCAATGGGCCAGGAGCTCCATTATGGCCACTGATATTAGGACAATCATACTGATGTAAAAGTATGCAAAACTTCTGTTTACAATCATAAGTTAAAAATATTGTCAAGGTCTCATTGAACAATTTCTGTGAAGTAATTTAACGGGCAGTTAGTGTAACTACTTTTAGATGTCACTAGTGGTGGTGTAAAATTATTTTTGGGTATTGTATGTCTTGCATTACACATATGTTTAATTTTGTACAGTAACAGGTTCAATAATAGTATTATCAATTCGAACTTTCCAATGAACGGCATCAACTATCTGTGGTGAAAGCCATGAGTGGTGTTCATTTTTTTTTTTTGCTAAATCGCAAAGCAGCCTTCAGGATCAACATCATTTGGAGTGTCTAATTCAACAAAGGAGCCAGGCCAAGTAGTGTGGGATATGGCTGATGCATGTTAAACAAATGAAACTTGGACCTTGTTAACACAATGGTTTGCATTAATGAAACCTTTCACGGCCATAAAAGACTATAAATTGTGTTGCAGGGCGCGTTGAAATATCATTCTCCGCCATATATGTTACTCCGCAAAGAATGTCGACATCCAAGTCGTTGCCAACTAGTGCATCTAACTGGAAATTATAGCTACCTTTGAAGAGAGAAACAATATATTCCTAAATAAAGTCTAACGGGGTAACTCTATCTGCCTGCAGCTGAGATGCTATCTGAATTTGAGCGCCAATGTAATTTGCAAATGAAGCTTTCTTTGATCATGCTTGTTTCAGCTTTAGTGTCAAGAGTAATGGTAACAGGGTACTGGTTATAAAACATTTCTACAGTTGGTGACTGATTTGTCCGTACACGCCTTGTAATGACAGGCATGGAGCTTAAATTTCAGACGCATGAGACTCATTCTCTTCATCTGCAACAGCAAGTCGAACCTTGATCATATATTCTTTGTCCCTTTCAGGTAGGTATTTACAACCACTATGATATTGACGATTTTTCTGTCTGCCCGCCTGTTTACATAGAGGACAATCCTTGTTTTGACTTATCATCCTCAGAAAACGAATGGGATCAAAAACTAGATCAGATCTGATGGTCTTAGTCATATTGTTGGAATGAATCTCCTCTAGAAGACTGTCCAGAGACATAGAAATTCTGGTTTCAAAGAAGCTAGAGTCTAAGACATAATTCAGACCCGTATCACTGTTTTATTGAAGATGGTAATTTTGTATCTATTAGCCGAAGCAATAATAACACAATTAGATTTTCTACAGACGGTGTTATTTCTTCTTCCGCATTGGGGAAACCTCCCATCTGAAAAATGTTAGCGTTAGATGACAGTGAGTTATCTCCGACAAAACTGTTTAGTCTTTGATATAAGTCTTAATGACACTCATCTGCTTCAAGTTTTATATTGTTAAAATAAAGGAAATGCGCACTTGTAGATTGAAAATGATAATGAAGTCTAATAGATTGCCAAATATTGTTCAATGATGTTTACTTATTCACAATCACTGATCTAGTAATAACTGGGCAAAAATTAGCTATTTGACCGAGCATTTATTCCATTAATGTCATTTTTAAGCAGCAGTCTTTCTACTGGCTTCAGGGACATTTTCACCATCATCAGTAAACTCACGAAGAGGATTTGAACTTGATTGACTGCCCAGGTTACTTCTTCTGCTAAAAATGAAGCAAAATGTTGATCAATATATAAGTTATTGCCTACCGGTTTCTATAATCATCAAGACAAAAAACATAAAACCATAGTTACAACGTCACTTGACGTTATTTGTGTACTAGTGTAAGCAACATAAAAAATGTCGACGTCATCAACTTTTGTTTAGTTTTGGTTTAAACACATCAATAAAATATAGCTCTTGCGATAACCTAGCTGATACATCAGTATTAATTTTATAAAATTTGTAAAAAGAAAATATGGAAACTTTAGTTACAACCAATATCTAAATGTGCACTTAAAGGAATTTGTCGTATCGATGGGTCAATAATTTGCTTTTTATGAACAGTTATTATTTTTCTGAGTTTATCCCCAGTTTGTCCAATATAATATTCATTGCACCCATTGCATATATATAATATATCAAGGGATACAAATCAAAATTGCTCAATTCATGAAAAAGTAAAAAGAACGCAGTATACGACAGCTTTTTTCTTTTGATTGTTGGACATTTATGAAAGAATCGATAATTAAAAAAATGACCCACTCTGATACATACATAGACAAGGTATTATTAAAAATAACTTTTCGTGTTTCATTGTGCCCCGCAATAAGGGGAGGGGGCATTGAGATTTACCCGTCTGTTCGTCCCTCCTCCGTCCGTCCTCATTTTGTGTCGCATGTAGCTCAAAAAAGTATTTGACCTATAGTCATGAAACCTTATAGAAATGTTGCTCAGCATGTCTAGTTGTGCACTGCGTATTTCCGTGTGTATAAGGGGAGGGGGCATTGAGATTTACCCGTCTGTTCGTCCCTCCTCCGTCCGTCCTCATTTTGTGTCGCATGTAGCTCAAAAAAGTATTTGACCTATAGTCATGAAACCTTATAGAAATGTTGCTCAGCATGTCTAGTTGTGCACCTGCGTATTTCCGTGTGTATTTTATTAAGTATTTGTAAGGTTATTGCCCTTGGTTTAGTAAAATTTTCATTTTTTAACTTGTGTCGCATTTAGCTCGAAAACTATTTGACATAGAGTCATGAAACTTTACAGGAATGTTTCTCAGCATGTTA